CGTACGTCCAAAACTTACCATGTAAACAGATTCACCGTTGCGTCCTAGACGTACGTGCAAATGTTTTCAGTCCTGGACGTACGTCCAAAACTTACCGTGTAAACAGATTCACCGTTGCGTCCTAGACGTACGTCCAAATCTGATAAGTCCTGGACGTAAATGTAAACAGATTCACCGTTGCGTCCTAGACGTACGTGCAAATCTGATAAGACCTGGACGTACGTCTAGGACGCATCGTGTAAATAGGCCTTAATAGACCCTATGAGCTCTACTTCTACTCTGCTTCACATGACAAGCATGTTCAGCTTGTGTGAGTTTTGTGGTTTTTACTTTTACGACTAGATGGCGCTAGAGAAACATAAAAGCGGAATAATACCAAATATTCCTGCTATTGCTATGATAAAAAAGTAATATTCTCTGAAAGATGTTAAAGCTGAATAATAATATTATAGCCTAAATTTTAATGCGATTACGTTCGTATTAAATTGTTGTAATAAACAAAAATTGGTGGACCTATATTATGTATTTGTGAACTGTGCACTGCGGCCCAACCGCCATTGCGGAAGACAGCAAACACGATTTGGCCGGTGAAATACGTTCTTAAAAACCAATAGTAGACAGCTTATTTTCTAGTATTCATGTACAGTTGTACATTAGGCGTAGACATTTTCCCAAGGTACAAAATACTCATGTTTACATAAACAGGTGTTTTAATATCCCCTAGTGATATATTTTGCTATGTTATTATTGAAATTGGGTTTGGCTTTAATTGTCTAGTCGGTCTTAGCTCTAGCCCGTCCTGGACATCATCTCTTTCCTTGAACCGCCTCTAGTACTGTAGCACGCGTTGCGGGCTATAGTATAGTAGTTAGTACTACTACTAGAGCTAAGTCAGTCTAGGCCTATCACCCCACTGCACAGAGAAAAGTGTTAGTAATAGTACTAGTACTAGTAGTTCGTCTGCCTATCTTCATTAGACGAGTAATATACTAATATGCGATCATGTATTAAGTGGCTAAAATGGTGAGTCTAAACTACTGTATCCTTGTATGGCATTACAAGCGTTAAATTAACGCTGTGGCTATATGCCCGGCAGCCGGGCACGGTCTTCGTTTTCCTAAATGCCCGGCAGTTCTTAACCCTAACTCTAACCCTAACCCTAAATTAACCTAACAAAAACCCTAACTCTAGCCCTAAACCTAACCCTAACCCTAATCCTAACTCTAACCCTAACCCTTATATATATATATATATATGCTCTCTTCAGTGTTGGTGATGAATGGTGGTGTATTGAGTTTTCAAATTTACAAACGCAGTGTTACATTTTGAGTGAGATAGTGCTCTTCTATAAAATTGGTGTTTGCATATATCATGAATTTTTTTTATTTCTTGCAAATTTGCTTGCCACGCTTTTTTATTTGTTTAGTTTATATGCAATGCATGAATCAACAATATCAGTCCATTGCAGTTAAGTGAACAATGTACATTCTGCTACTCTTCTAACAACATTTCTTCCTGCAATTACAAACTGGTTAATGATGTTATGTCATGTGAATAATTGTCGTTTTATGATTGCTGTCTCCCTGCCTGTAGAATTTTATCATGTACCGGTGGTACCAGTAGAACCTGTCTTTAAATGCTGGGTATTTGAAGATTTTTGATGTGGTGTCATTTCCATAACTGATTAACAGATTATCTTTCACATAAAAAACAATATAGTAAGATTGTGCTGTAAAATAAATATCCTAAAATATACTGTGGAAAATAGGTTCAAGGAGCCACGTAACCCTGATGTGTAGGAATGGAGGAATTGCATTTCATAGTTCCACTATGTTCATGTTGTATAAAACTTGAAACTTCATGGCATTTCATGGAGACAAAAAAATTTGATATGATCAGGAGTACATGAATATCAAATTGAACTTTCAGTGTAGTGGGTTTATAGCTAGCTAAGTCGTTGTCTGTCGTCATGATGAAGATGAACACAATAAAGCAACACTGGTGAAACTAAACCAATGTCCTGCTTTATAATTAGCTAGTGTACTGATCTATGAAATTACGATGTACTATAATTATCATTACGGAGGCATATGAGGCATGCCATATATAAACTTACATTTCATAACATAAGATATTGTTAATTTTAATGAACACATTTGATGTTTAATAATGGCTGATATTGATTAGTAATGAGGAACCAGCTTAGCAATTAAATTGCTAGGCTGGTTTCTCATTACAAATTGAATTTGCAGTTGTAATTTTCACTTATTTCATTGAAATGCGGACGGATCGAATGCAAAAATTGCAATAAGTTGAACCCATATTTCGGTAAAATGACATTTTCGATCATAACCGGCCAACTTCCTCGGATCCTACCTGTTCCAGCATTCCTGTAAATAAATCGTCAATCCCACCCCC